GTGAGTGTGTGAGTGTGTGTGTGTGTGTGTGAGTGAGTGTGTGTGTGTGTGAGTGAGTAATGAGTGAGCATGTGTGTGTGAGTGAGTGTGAATGTGAGTGAGTGAATGAGTGTGTGTGAGTGTGAGTGAGTGAGCAAGTGAGTGTGTGTGAGTGAGTAATGAGTGAGCGTGTGTGAGTGAGTGAGTGTGAGTAAGTGAGTGTGAGTGTGTGAGTGAGTAATGAGTGAGTGAGCGTGTGTGAGTGAGAGTGAGTGTGTGTGAGTAATGAGTGAGCGTGTGTGAAGTGAAGTGAAGTGACGTGACATGTGGCCAAGTATGGTGACCCATACTCGGAATTAGTGCTCTGCATTTATCCCATCCAAAGTGCACACACACACACCGTGAACACACACCCGGAGCAGTGGGCAGCCATTTTTGCTGCGGCGCCCGGGGAGCAGTTGGGGGTTCGGTGCCTTGCTCAAGGACACCTAGCAGTAATGTTGCAGAGATCAACATGTCAAAAACATCAAATCACACACACACACACACACACACACACACAGCGGTGACCTTTGACCCCTGACACCCGTGACCCCTGTACCAGGCCGTATCGCATCTTGGCCAGCAGGATGAGCTCCTGGTCTCCTGGCGTGCACATGTTCAGACCGATGGGCAGCATCTTCTTCAGCGCCGCCACGATCAGAGACGTCTGGATGGAGTAAAAGTCTCCGCGACGCTTCTTATGCTTCCGCTCCTGATCCTGACCTCCAGCCTGACACACACACACACACACACACACAGCGATAAAGACAAAAAAATTAAATACAGAGGAACAAGCAACCCTCCTCAGAGATCAAAGACATCTGTACAAAAGCTTCCGCTGTCTGATGATGATTCACAAACTCAAAAAAATTTTTAAAGAAGGAATTGCCAGCACAAGACACACAGAACCAGAAGAACCGACAAACAACACAAACACACCACCGACGACCACATCTGACATGAGAGACACTACCGAAACACGACAGATCCAACACACACTCACACTCACACACACGACACAACACAAGCTTTAACCACTGCATCATCTACTCTCACATCATCAACACAAAACCACCCGAGTTCACATCAATCTCAAACCACTGCTCTCAGTCAAAAATATGGAAATAAAGCTAAAGTAAACTATACTGAACTATTACTAAGATAAAAAATGCCTTGCCAACTAACTGAAACAAAGTTTAAGTTGGCGTACTAAAACTACTAAAATAAAAATAAATGAAATCCAAAAGAAATATAAATAACAACAATAATTTTAAAGTTTCTGTAATTTTGTTGCTAATAATGAGTAATAATACTAATAATAATATTAAATATCAACATAAAAATGACTAAAAAAACAAACTAAGAGCAACTAATGAAACTAAATGTATGTTAACAAGTACTATCTGAAAACAAAATTAAAATGAAAACTGGAAAGCTAATTCAAAATATTAATAAATACTATAACGGTATATAAATAATACTAAAACAACACTGTCTCGCAATAATCTTGTTTCTCTTCATGTTTCAATCCTGACACCCAAATCACTGAGACTTTCAGAAAATCCTGCTGAAACGAACAGCGTAAGCGTATATCTGTGCCAGAGCAGATCGAGTGGAACTGAATCAGCTGTGACTGTAATGAAGCTGATCTGAATCTGACTGCCGCTGCTGCAGACAAACATGACAGAGACACAGTGATCGGAGCTCATGCAGCTCACTGTACCTTGGGGAGGAATGACTGAGCATGAAGGAGAAAGACAGAAGAAGAGTTAGAGAAGACATTCACACAGGAAACGCTCAAGAAAATATCCAATCACTGATTAACCAGATCAAAAGCACTGACTTCTAAATGAATTCAGTCAATCCAAACACCACTGATTTTGCTTTGAGAGATTGGAGTAATATTTTCCATTTCCTGTGAGAGTTATTCAATGCATTCGGTTATAAATGTGTGTTTTATCATGAGTGATTGAACCAAAAGCTATATCAGTTCTGTTACAAAATAACCCTTAAAATTAAAATACTAAAAATTAAACGATTCAAAAATAAAATAAATCATTTCCAAATGAAGTAAAATGTGAAATAAAAAAAATTATCAAAAAACTATAATCAACGTAAAATGAAAATTAGTTCATTCATAAATAATTCCTGAATAAAATTCATTTTAATATAAAATAAAAACAATCAAAATGAAAAAATAATAAAAAAATGTAAAAAAAATAAAAAAATAAAGAATTAAAATAAAAACTATTAATTAAATTGTAATGTCAAATAAAAAAGTAAAATAAAAACAATCAAAATAAAACACTAATAATTCAATCATACATATCTAAAATTAAAATGAATAATTTAAAAATAAAACATTAATAAAAACATTTTTTTAATAAAATTTAAGTAAACATCAATATAAAAACGAATAATTCATTCAAACATAGAAATGTAAAGTTAAAAAAATATTTTAAAATGAAAGACAATAAAAACAAAAATTAATTAAATGCAAAAAACATCATTTAAAAAAAAAATCAACAATCAAAATAAAAAGCTATTAATTAAATCAAAGTAAAATTCAAATGAGTTCTGTTAATATAGCTTTACATTAATAAATGCATGCATTTAGCGAATCTGAATATGTGTGACAGGTTTATGAGCTTTCATTTGTTCTCCAGTGAAAACAAATCTAACAGTGATGGTCTCGTGACGGAGGTTTAATGACGTCTGAGACGAGGATATCAGCATGTGAGGGAGTTCATGTGAGATATTAGTAATTAATGACAGCTGTAGTGTGTATTTATGAAGGGGAATGTGCGATGAAATATTAAAACGAATCAATCTGGAGCTCAGGTTTGCCTTCACGAGCAGCTCGTGTCGTAATCCTTCACAACACAATCAACGTGAAACACGCGTCCACTTCTGTTGTCATCCGTACACTACTACTGCATTAAAAACAGTGAAATATTATTATAATTTCAAATAACTGTTTTCTATTAAATATGCATATACATTTTTTATGTAATAAAATGTAATGATTTTTCAAGATACTATAGTTTTTATTCATTAATTTTTATTTCTGCTTAGGTTTTAGTTATAGTACTTCAACTTGAGAAATGTTGGCAACTAGCTGAACTAAAATCAGTTTAAGCATGTGACTGCAGATGCATTATGGGAGATGTCTGATGTTTTTCCGCTCACCTGCGATGCGCTTCATCCAGGAGGCCTCGTCGATGCCCAGGTTGCTGTTGAGGATCTTGAGGATGTTGCCGAGGATGAGGCTGAGGTGTTCCGAGGTGACGGTGCTGCAGCAGACGGATGCGGGCCGGTTCTCCGGGCCTCTCTCCCACCAGTAGGACAGATAATTACACAGCATGGGCAGCACCACCTCGATGACGTGCGGCATCTCTGTGTAACGAGCGCCGGACTCTGACATGTCGTTAATGTCCTTCATCAGACCGTCCAGACGAGGCATCTCAGGACACACGTCCTCCACCGACTCCGGCAGCCCTACGACTAAACCACACACATATTTCATATATAAACATGTATAAAGCATAAAACTTTTTAAAAAATCATTTCAGTTCACTAGGGGTGACCCCAAATAGATTCGATGCTTCAATAGGAGGAGCCTGATTCGATACCAATCTCACAGTCGAATATTCGCGGGGTGTTATGATTATGCCATTTTGGCTGTCTGGGGGTGCTCAAATGTCTGATTTCACACAGAACTACCGGTTTTCTCCCAATAAGTTAATATACAGCCTATAGATAATGCTGTAAATAAGAATCTGAAAAGAAAGAAGCTTTAAATAAATATTTTAACATGCGTGAAAAAATCCAACCACCCCTATAGATTTGAGTTTCACTTTCTATAATCCGTAACCGACAGAGAAGCATCTTGGCGGCAGGGATTTAAAACTTTAACAAGACTCAATGAAAGACTAGATTTTTTCGATCAGGTAGGGTACAAGTGATTTCAAAACATTTCAGCCGGTTTATATATATCGTGTATATATTATTTATCTCGTATAAGATGCATTTGGTTGAGTTACGCTGCAGTAAGCGCTATAAGTCGTAATATTAACGTTATGTTTTATAAATAACGAAGCGTATTCTATATGAGATAAATGATGAGTTAAATCCCATTGATTAAAAACCTGCTGCTTCATTCTACCGGTCATCTTCAGCGCGCGCAGCTACAGACAGAAATGCAGAACATTAATAACTACTGTCATATACATAACGTTATAATGAGAGCACTATTGTAAAAAATTTTGTGAATTCTTAGGGTTTCGCTGATGTTTAATGTTAACTATCTTTTAATCAAAACATTATTTTTGTATCTAGAAATCATGTACTGTACTCAGAGAATGCACTTCGGGGAAGGAAGTAATTTTGATGGGTGATTTCAATATTAATTGGGAAGACAAATCAAGTAAAAAAGCACTGAAACAGATCACGGATAGGTTTGATCTGACATAGCTAGTAAAGGGGCCTACTAGATAACCTCCACATCCAGTACTCAAATAGATCTGGTATTCAGTAATAAGCCTGAGAGAGTAATTAAATCTTTTAACATGGTTACAGGCTTGTCTGATCACAATTTAATCATTATAGCCAGAAAGCTCAATAAAAATCGGTCCTATTTGATTTCTAACACAAAGCCTTGCCAATTTAGAATACCTAAGAATAATGCATGTGAATTTGAAAAGGCAATTAAGAACATTAATTGGAATGAATTAATATCTGGTACAAATGTAGATGTTGTTGACACATATGTGTTTTTATCCACAATTCACTACACTACAAAACTATTTTTTAAAGAAAAGCAAATTTAAAGGTGCCAGCAAATATACTCTTCCTTGGATTAAAGGTGATATACGGAGACTAATGAAGGAGAGAGATCGTGCCCTGCTAATTTTTCTTAAGACCAAGTTAATGACCGACAGACACATCTTCACTTCTCTAAGAAACAGGGTAATAAAGGACATCCGAGTCACTAAAGAATAAAATTGCTTTCTTTTAGACAATATCAAGTTAAAAATGGACAAGGGAGGTGTTGTTGGGGCCATATTCTTGGATTTAAAGAAGGCATTTGATACTGTCGATCATCAAATACTCATTTGTAAACTAGCTCATTTAAATTTTTCCCCTAATGTGCTAAATTGGATGAAGTCTTATCTTACAGGTAGAGTTCGGTGTGTTAGGGTGGGTAGTGAAACTTCACTCTTTCTGTTCAATGAAACGGGTGTGCCTCAGGGATCTATCCTGGGGCCTCTGCTTTCCAGCTTATATATAAATGATTTACCCTCTGTATGTACAGGGTGTGATGTTCAGATGTACGCAGATGATACCGTAATTTATGTCCATGCAAAAACCAAAGAACAAGCAGCTTCTAAACTTAGTGCAATAATGATAAATGTAAATAAATGGCTTAATGATTCACATCTGGTTCTTAATGTAAAGAAGACAGTTTGTATGTTTTTCACAAAGATGCACTCTGTAACTGACTGCGATCCCAAAATGTATGTGTCTGGAGAGATCCTTCAGGTAGCCTCTCATGTTAAATATCTTTGTATTATCCTTGATTCCACTCTATCCTTCAAAAAACAAGTGAAGAAAGTATTGCAAATAACTAAATATAATTTTAGATATATAAGAAACTGTCTAACAACTACAGCAGCAAAATTATATATAAATTCAATGATTATTCCTCACTTAACATACTGTATGACAACTTGGTCTCAAGCTAAAGGAACAACTCTAAATCCTATTCTTTCTCTGTATAAGGCATATAAAGTATTAGATAAAAAGCCCAATACTTACCATCACTAAGTTGATATGATTCTTTAGGGTCTTAATGAAAAGTCTGTAACATAGTTTGGTTAACATTTCTCAATGGTAGTGTAAAAAACACCTTTTTTACCCTGTCAAAAAGTGCTACCCTTTTGTGCTTCATGTATGGTTAATGTTTTCCAGCACGCTTGCATATACCTATTGAAGGTTGTGTGTTGTCTCTTTGTGTGCTTGCATGGCTGATTGTGTGAAAATGTTGATTGTTGTTGTAGTGTTAGTACTGTTGTCAAGATGCTTTTTGTTTATTGTTCTTGATATTTTAAAGGGATTTGGAACATCTTGCCAAAGGACTGCAGTTGAAAATTAGTCGACTGGCTAACATTGGCACATTTACAGAAATGTTGATTATTGTGTGTTGTCCTTATAAAAAAATAAAAAAAACACACACACACACAGAAACACACACACACACACACACTCACTCACACACACACACACACACACACACACACACACACACAGAAACACACACACACAGCGTAAGAGCAGGTCAAACGCGTCACTCTCAGTTAAACGCAGACTCAGCGTGCGCTCACCTCTCCACATATATGTTCTTCCCCGTCCCCAGCGAGTATAAACTGGTCAGGATCCGATAACACGACACCTGCACATCATCCACTGACAAACACCACAAAACACAGAAAGCATTATACAGTCCGGAGTGCTTAATCACAGAATAACAGTTAGAGGGACATTCAAAGTCAATGTAAATGACAACTGCATTCAATTCTATTTACTCAACAACACGTTCACCCTCCAGATCACATCAACAAATCCCAATAGTGATGATTCATTATCACATCTGTCATTATTTGATATTTTTTCGTGACCTTTATTAAATTAACCAGTATTAAATTACTGAAAATAATATAATATTATTTTAATATAACTTATAATATATTTTTGTCTTAATATTAAATGTTTAAATTTAATATATAATTATCATTTTATTAATATTTTATTTTGCATGACCTACAACAGCAACCTAAAGCAATGACTATAAAGCATTAACATTAACCAATAACCAGTGAGAGACGTCAGATGAAACGTAAAGTTGTTTCAGAGGTGGAGCAAGTTTTTTTTTTGAATTGTTTTATTCTTCTTTAATAATTAATAGTAATAATGACAACAATAAAATCACTTTTATCACTATGGATAAAAGGATCTGCTAAATGATTCATGTAAATGTAATAATAATCAATAATTCAATAAGACCAGTAACATGAATTTAGAAAGTAGTATAGTTTTTCTTAAATAATAATGCAATAATGATTTTTGAGTTCATTAGTGTTAGGGTTATTATTATTATTATTATGAAATAATTTTTATTTTCACATTTTAATTGTAAAGTTTTAGTACTTTTGTTGTTAATTGTTATTTTAATCATTATTTTTTAAAATGTAGTTTTTATTAAATTACCATGATATTTATCATGATTTTTGAGTTAATGAGAGTGTTATTTTGAGATCCTATTACAGTTTTGAATTAATTTCTATTTTAACATTTTAAGTTTTAGTAATTTTGTTGTGTTTGTCATTTATTATTTTATATATATTTTTTTAAATATGCATATAACATTTTTATGTAATGATAATGTAAAGTTTCAGAGGTGAAGCAAGTCTTTTTGGAACTTTTTTCTGTATGCTAACATCATAAAATCGTCCAGTAAGAGCAGGAACATGGATTTAGAAAGTAAATGGAGTCAGCATTACTCTCCACAGTGTGTGATGGTTGTGGTGTTTAGACTCACGCAGCAGGTCCGAGCCGAACTGGTGTTCAGTGATATGCTCGAACAGAGCGGTGAGGATGGGCAGCAGAGCCACTGTGGTGTAGTTGATGTTCTGCGAGACGCCCTTCATCTGACTGCGTGAGTGCGTGAACTTCCCCAGCTTCAGGTTCTCCAGGGTCTTCTCCAGATCTTCAGCCGCGCTCTCAAAGAACGTCCTCAGACCGGCTTTGACCAGCTCCGATCCGGATTTCATCACAGTCCTGAGAGAGAAACCGTCCTACAGCATCATCTCAGTCACACACGATCTGCCTCACCGCATTAACCCTCAGAACGCATTCAGGAACATATACAGAAACATTTCTAAAAAATGCATAGTTTTTAGTAAAGGTACGAAACTTTGCAAATGCTTTAAGACCCTCACAATATACATCATTTATTTTTTTCAGATTTTTTACAATTATTTTTTAAGAGATATAAAACATGTTTGTGTTCGGGTCATTTTGACCCGCCTGTGTATGGAGCGCCTTTAGTGTCAAAAACACTTTCTGAAAAATTATCTGTGGAGTTAAATTAGTGTCAAAAAAGTTTTATGTCATCTATTGATGAACCATTGCAGCATGAAAAATTGATCACTTTTTTCATCTGAAAGTGAAAGTTTATGCAAGTAAAACCTTTTGAGAGTAATATTCATGCTGTTTTGTTATATATACGTAAATATGTAGGTTTCATAAATTTGGACTGTTTTTGAGCAATCAAAGACCCTCACAATATACATCATTTATTTTTTTCAGATTTTTTACAATTATTTTTTAAGAGATATAAAACATGTTTGTGTGCGGGTCATTTTGACCCGCCTGTGTATGGAGCGCCTTTAGTGTCAAAAACACTTTCTGAAAAATTATCTGTGGAGCTAAATTAGTGTCAAAAAAGTTTGTCATCTATTGATGAACCATTGCAGCATGAAAAATTGATCTCAATTTTATTATTAATAAAATGTAGTAAATGCAGTAATAACATGGTAACATTCGAAACTTTGACTGAAAAATTGATCACTTTTTTCATCTGAAAGTGAAAGTTTATGCAAGTAAAACCTTTTGAGAGTAATATTCATGCTGTTTTGTTATATATACGTAAATATGTAGGTTTCATAAATTTGGACTGTTTTTGAGCAATCATGAGTTATAAACTCAAAGGAATTTAATTAAATTATATTAATTCCAGTGTGGTTAATATTGATAATTCTCAGATTATATGTTCTTATAAATTTCAAGCAACGATATATTCAAATACAATTTCTCATCAATATTGAGAAATATATATATACATTTTGCATCATAGTTTTTTTGGTCTGGTTCATGTGTAATTTGAAATTTCAAAGAAATTCTCAATTTTATTATTAATAAAATGTAGTAAATGCAGTAATAAATAACATGGTAACATTTGAAACTTTGAAATTTTTTTCACATTCACTTATTAATAAGAAGCTGCCGATCAGATACAATATGGTTTTAGTTGAAAAATGCTAAGTTATGACTGTTTTGTAAAATAACGATTCTTCGCGGAATGTGAAAATACTCGCGTCATGAGCGTACTGAAGATACTGACAGGAAGTGAGGTCGTACCTGGTGTCCAGCGTGTGTGCGAGGATATGCAGACAGCTAACTATAGTGGTGGAGTCACTTCCTGCAAACACAAACCATAAACCAATGAGAAGCAGCGAATCGATGAGCACGAGAGACCGTCAGACAGACGCGGTGATCTTACCAAACAGAGAGATCCTGTGTCTAACCAGAGTGGCCAGCTTACAGAACAGACTAGAGACCAGCAGAACGCAGCAGGAAGTGAGGAGACAGTGAGAGGAAGGAAGAAACGCAAGCTTAGACAGGTGAGGAGAGAAGAAGCAGCTACAAAAATATCAATCATAAAGCAGATAAACCAGCATGTGCTTGATTTATAAATGAAGCGTGACGAGTGAAGAGGTAAATTAAACCGACAAGTTTCTGACTATGAGATACATGTTTCTATAATTGTGTGACATGAGCCACTCATCACCTGGTGACCATCTCCTTCTCTTTGTTCGACGCGTATCCGCTGCTGCTCAGATTCTTAGTGGGCGACGACAGGAAGTAGAGCGAGTGGTTTTTAAAGTACTGGTCTATGAGGGGGAGGAGCACCTACAGGAAGTACAACAGGTCAACAGGAAATTAAACTCAGTATGGTTTTATATATATATATTTTCATTAAAAATGGTTTATTTTAAATCAATATAAAGTATAATGTATATTCAATAAAAAATATATAGATAGATAATATAATTTAGTTATAAAATAAACAAACTAATTAATAATTATAATTAATATATTTAATAATTATAAACTTAATATAATTAAGTTGTAAAATATGTACATATAATATAAAAAACATCACATTTAATATAATTAAATTTAAATTATATTAAATGTATAAATATATACATTTAAATAAATAAATAAGTGTGTGTGTGTGTAACTACATCACGGCTGTGTCTCATACATTCAGATTCAGAATCATTCTCAAACCTTAGCAAAGAACTTGATTTCCTGTTCATGTGGCGATCTGTCACTCTTTCCGCTGGTCGCCATCGCCTCTGTAACGAGTGAGATTGTGAAAGTTAATTCATGAATCTGTGACAGAACGAGCGTCTCTGTCCTCAGGCGAACAGAAGAGACCCGTGAGAAACGCTTTCACTAACCAAGGTGAGCGATGAACTCCTGCGCCGAGTCCACGTACTTCAGCAGCTTCTTCAGGAAGCGGAAGGCGAAGCGTTTCTCCATCGAGGACGAGTCCTGCTCCATGTCCTTCAGACCCCTGAAACACAGCAGCAGCGGCGTTACACCCGGTAGGGCTGTTCAAGAATTTCAAATATTCGTCTAATTTAAAATAAAAATCCACATTCGTTGTTTTAGGTGTGCGTTAAGGAGGCAGCTTATCAGCGGCGCATGAGATGCGATGACGATGTAAGTGTCGTTGCATTTTAAT